CTCTGGTTCCTATCAGGGGAAAGAGTTATCAAAGCTTCCCAGGTTTGAAGTCAAATCGGTCTACATGCTTATAGAGGTAGTCCTCACTTGTTGACCATTCATTCAGCGACCATTGGAAATTGTGTCAGCACTGAATGAGCGGAACCCATGACCAGTCCTTGAAGTTCTGGTCATTGCAGCAACCCCACAGTCATGCAGTTGCAATTGGAGTGCTTGGCAACCATCTCATATTGATGAGGGTTGCAGCATCCTGTAATTAAGTGGTCACCATTTGTGACCCTCTTGGCCGGCCTCTCACAAAGCAAAGTCAATGGGAAAGCAGCCGGTGAAAGTTGCAATTTGCTCTGGTAAATCTTCCTACGCAACACCTTGTGCCCTCCTTCCCTCAACTTGCACCCACTTGCACTACCGCATCCTCCTTCCCTCAGGTGCCCTGCACTTCTACCTGGTTGCACCATGCCATGCCCTTCTTCCCTTTGCTTCCTGCACTCAAATGTGCTCACACCACAGTCACACTCCTTGCTTCCCTGCACTTGGACATGTTTGCACTGCACCATGCCCTTCTTCCTTTGGCTTCTCTGCACTCATACATGCTTGCACGACATTGCACTCTCCTTCCCTCAGGCCCCTTGAACTCATACATGCTTACACTGGCCTACACCGCCCTCCCCTTGGCCTCCCTGAATTCACTGTGCCCTGGAGCAACCATCACCCAACTCACTTGTGGCCTGTGCTGGGCTTCCCAGGACCTCTTATATCCCTTTGGGGTACTCCTGCACGCTTTACCTGGGATTCCAGGCACTTCCTGCTTAACAATCTTAACATATCTTGGGGTTATGATGGCAACTGGGGCTGCCTGGACTGTTGTCACTAAGCAAAGCAGCCATGTGACATTGTGTTTTACAACCACGTCACTCAGCGATGGCAATCCTGATCCAATTGCCGTCCTAATTTGAGGATTACCTTGTACATGACAAGAAAATAACATGAAAAATAAATGCAGTGAAAGAGTTCAGTCTTCCAGACATAATACTCGTGAATCTCCTCCCTCTCTTTCTTTCCATGTAGTTAGGAATTACAATAAGTGTGAAAGCTTATATGTTTTCTCCCCAAAGTACCAAAACAGGCATTTTCATGATGTTATAATGCTATAATAATGATGTCATATCATTATCGTTATAATCTGCTGAAGACTGGACGGGGAATGGACCACCTGGAATACAAAGGGATTTACATCAGGGGAAATGTGATTTCATTGCAAATTTGCTGACTGCTTATGTGAGATTCCTAAGATTAATATGCTTCTCCTTCCCTTTTGTTTTTTTATCTTGAGGGTGAGCGTTCTCTGTATGAGAGAGGCTTGCTTGTAGGCAAGCAAGGTTATTCAGCAGGTTTCTGACCAGTTCTGGAGAAATTTTGATTAGTTCAAAGAACCACCAAATACCCCCTCTGACTGGAGATTTTACAGTATCCTTCCCCTGCCACACCCACGAAGCCACGGCCACAGAACCGGTAGTAAAAAAAAATGAATCCCACCACTGCTTGTAGGTATTTTATATGATCTGGCTATTGTGTTTGTCTGGCTATTCCCTGTGAAAAACTGACTTGTTATAGCTACTCTTGTTTCTGCTTTATATCTTGAGCTGGCAATGTGGAGCATCTCCTAGCAAATCTTGCAGAATCCAATAACTACAACTTATTTGAAGATGAAAGCCTTGCCTCTCCTTTAAAATCCTAGAAAAGCCCATTTTCACTATCAAAAATATAAAAATGTACACCGTGACACCAAATTTGCCTCTTTGAAATTTGTACCCATCAAGATCTCCACTTAGACTTAGAGGTGTCCAGCATGAAGGAAGAATTGAAATGCAATCCTTGCCTCTTTCTGTATTTTTTGTTAATAGCAATTTTCATTAAAAAATATTATTATAATAATAAAAACTAAAAGAAAGAAAAAGAAAAAATAGAAAGTGCAGAATAGAAAGAGGAAAAAGAGAAAATACTGTAAAGAAAAAGAAAAGAAACATATAAAGAATTAACTTCCCCCTTCATCAATAATTTTAGTAATTTATCACCTTCTCTTAAAATAAAGTGAATCATCTCTTCTTCCCATACGCCATCTCTTATCTATAAATAAATCCATATAGCCTTGTTGTTTCAGTCCTGATGTTTTTTTTAAAAAAGCCCATTAAGGATTGCCAGAGATAACGTATGTACCATAAATTAAAACAAATATATGTGTCCCAAGATAATGTTGCAGGATCCAATTTGGTTTGGTCATTGGGACCAGAGGTTTAGTCTTCCGAGCTTTTGGATTCATGCTCTGGAGTCCATCATCAGGGAACTTCTTTCTACTGGAATGTCACATTCTGGAGAGAGAGAGACACACACAGAGAGAGAAATTCCCCGAGGATGGGTTCCAGCATGTGTCCAAAAGCTCAGAAGACTAAACCTCTGGTTCCAATGACCAAACCAGATTGGATTCCGCAACGTAGCTATTTTAATCTCGATCAAATAAATGAAATTTATATTCTTCCTTTTACTTGTAACAATCCTGATTTTTAGTCCTTTTAAGTAATGTCATAGAACTTGATTTCTTAACATTTTTCTTTTCTCCTCTGAACCCCACACGCAGTTCTGATCCCATGGATGTCATAAGGATTGGGTGGAGAAACTGGAGAAGAACAGTTGTAGAACCAGCATAATCACCAGAAAAGGCAACTTGCTCTCATGTGTGGTTGGTTATTTCTTGGTTCTTCAGGCCAGCTTGAGGAACATCTATGTGACATTTCATATGAACAGGGGTGGGATTCAAATTTTTTAACAACCAGTTCTGTGGGCGTGGCTTAGTTGGTGGGCGTGGCTTGGTGGTCATGTGACTGACTTAGCGTGGCCAACTCAACATCACTCACATCGAGGCACGCATCTCCTCGCCTGGCCTCTTTTGACTGTGGGGATGCTGCAACAGTAATAAGTGTGAAAAACAGTCTTAAGTCACCTTTTTCGCCATTGTAACTTTGAATGGTCACCCCACACAAACAAAGTACCAGCAAAGGAGGGGAAAAAAACTCCAGAGAAGTTCCTGAGACAGGAAATCTAGTTCTGCCAAGAATGTAATAAGGGTTAACAGAGAGGCAGTTTCTGTAAGCAACACCAGAATGTTTCCTTCCTGCCTTCCTTACAGGATTAGATCAGTAATTTCCTCTAACAACCGGTTCTCTGAACGGCTTAGAATGTTAACAACCGGTTCTAGCGAATAGGTGCGAATTGGTAGAATCCACCCCTGTATATGAAGCAGGAGAGAGACGATCAGACCTCCTGACACTTTGGAGATGTTGGGGATCTTGATATACAATACATACAAAAAAAGGCAGGGCTTTGATCATGCTCTCGTAACTTTTTTTGAACCCCTTGCCCCCATCCCGGTGCCAGTTCCTTATTGTATTGGATATATATTGTTTGGGTGGTACTATATCCGTGATGGTGAATCTATGGCATGCATGCAGGAAGTGGCATGCAGAGCCATCTCTGCCGGCATGCGAGCGTTCACTCCAGAGCAGGTTCATTGCACAGGCGCGCGCACCGCCCACCCGCCAGCTGATCACCCGCCAGCTGCCGCGCATGTGGGGGGGACAGGGCACTTGCAGGAGATGTGTGCCCATGTGCAGAAACATGCGGCATGCATGGGGGGTTGCGTGCGCATGTGCAGGGGGTGGAGAGCCTGCGTGCATTGCCTTATGGGTGCTGGCAAATGGGCGTGCACACTTTTGGCACGCGAAGACGGAAAGCTTCACCATCACTGTAGAATATTGATTGTACAGTAATAATTCATAGGCCTGTACCATACCTTTATCTTCCATTTGCTATTACTGTGTGAATCAGGCTTGCTATGCTTATTGCATTCAAATAGCAATTAATATGCATTTCTTCCTCTCTTCCTGTGCTTGTTCAGTAATAGCATGTTGGTTGAATTGATTAGCTTTGCATAATCTCTACTGAATGTTGAATCAGAATATACAGCCCTGACTGGCTATCATTATTATTAGTTTTATGAAGCAAACTATCTTTCAGGCTAATGTGTTCGTTTCTAATCCTGTGTGTGTGTGTGTCCCTCTCAGGAACAGAACTATAGTAATCTCAGTATATTTTGAAAGTAAGAACAAGGAGCCTGGCTGATGTCAATTAGGAGTCTAGAGGTGATAGACCTTCAGAATGTCATGATTTAACATCCTTCTCAGCCAATCATACAGAAGCAGAAGTTGGAACATTGCCCAAAGGAGTCCATTCTAAGCTGGAGAGTGTGTTGGGATATCAATTCGGAGTAGCTGAACAATCAAAGTGAAAACGGACAAGAACCAATCAGCACCAGGGGGCCAATGATGAATTCTGATACTATGTTACTACCAGTCTATCATCTACATCCTGATATGACTTCTCTCAAGGGACTTCCAGCATTTTCTTCAGAGGTGGGATTCAGCAGGTTCTGACTAGTTCTGGAGATCTGGTAGCGGAAATTTTGAGTAGTTTGGAGAACTGGCAAATGCCACCTCTGACTGGAGATTTTACAGTATCCTTCCCCTGCCATGGCCACCAAGCCACGCCCACAGAACCGGTAGTAAGAAAATTTGAATCCCACCGCTGATTTTCTTGCTTCTTTTGTCTATTAATCTTTCTTTCCTAGCTAGGCTGAAGGTTTGTTGGATATAGAGCAGAACTGGCTAAATAACTCCCATATCTGCATCAAAGTTGATCCTCATGCGTGTAATTTTTCTTGATATTGTTCATGTCTTACACATGATTAGCCAGTCTTATCCAGCAAAGTTTTGCAAAGTTCCTTCAGCAAGCAGAGAAAAGAGTAAGTGAATGCATTCTCGTTTTGTATTTTACCTTTTAAAATTGCATCAAGGTAATTACAGAGGGACTTACTTTCTGAATGTGTTACCATGGATGCATGAGTGAATAACAGAGTTGGAACGGACTTTGGAGGTCTTCTAGTCCGACCCCATGCTCAAGCAGGAGACCCTGTACCATTTGTGATAAATGGTTGAGTTATCTATGGGACAATGATACCTGGATATGAGTTTTGGATCCTAAGAATAACACCTTGACGGGACATCTTGCATGTGTTTGAGTAAGAGAGAACACATAGTGTGAAGGTGAGCTGTACCAGCGCTTCAAGTTAGAGGAAAGAAAGACAAATGGCTGTCCATGTAAATTTGATAGGTACAATTTAACATACAATACTATGGCCTTAGAGGCATAGGATTTTTAATTTTCCAACCTCCTAGAAGAAGATACCCACCTTAGATACAGAAAGATTATCTTATACATTCTTCAATTTTAGAAATTAATGTTGTAAAGTACAGTAAAAGGAAAAAGAGAAAAGATGCATCCCATAGATCAGCAGCCACCAATATTTTGGGCACCAGGGACCGGTTCTCTGGAAAGAGGTTTTTCCGTGGACCAGCTGGGCGTGGTTTCACATGTTCCCTGCATCCCACGGATGGGATTTCGCTTGTTTGCGTGTTTGCGTGGTCCAGTTTCTGGCATGCCATAAACCAGTGCTGGCCTATGGACCAGAGGTTAGGGACCGCTGCCATAGATCACCTGGGAAAGGTTGGAAAAGGCTTCTCAACCTGTGAGGTAGTCTGACATTAGCTGCTGATAAAACTATGTCCTGGAAAAGATGCCAAGCCATAAACTTCATCATCATCTCAGCTGAGATGAGATGAGAAAAAGAAGAAGTGCAAATATTTCTGCTCTTATCTCTCTCCCAACTTCCAGGCTGACGTTGACAGAGCTTTGGATTAGGTACAAGCTCTCTGCATTATCAGGTAGGGTGGTTCAGTTGGGTGGCCAGAACTATGCATTGAGAAAGTTTAGCCTGGTTTAACTATGCTGAGACTGCACCATTTTGTAGGTGCTATTTCCACATGATTAGGAGAAAATCTTCCCCGGTTCCTTGTTTAAAGTTTAAGCTCTTAACTATAGAGCAATTTACTGTCCCTTGTGGATGTCCTATTCATTAATCTTCCTAGGACAAGGAGAGACATGAAGCCCTAAATGCTTAATCTCACTCAATGATCTCAAACTCAATAATTATTTCTAAGCATTGAGATTATTTCCAATCCAATGGGAGAAATCCTATGCCCACAGACAAACTGTAGCATTGAACACATTGTTTGGCTTACAAGGAAGCAAGGTAAGGTAGATGTGACAGAGATAGATAAAAAGATACACAGCATGGAAGCTGGGAACGAGGAAAGTTTTTCTCCTTTGCTCATGATGTCGGAATGCAAGATCAAACACAAAATAAATGCAGGAAGATCCAGATTTAATAAAAGAAAATCCTTTTTTTACAGTACATAGTTATTAAAAAATACAGCTGCCAGAAGATGCAACAAAGGCTCTCATTTTAGGTGCTTTTTATATGGTCTAGACACACCCATACAGGATAGGCCTATTAGAATCAATGACTGCTATTGTCAATGGATATACTATACTCTTGAATCTTGTACATCCTGTCAGTGAGTCTCCAGGGAACCTCTGCTGGATTCATGTGGAAAAGTTGGTCTGTTCCAGCATCTTATGATCTTAACACACCTTAACACAAAGTTATATCTTGCTGCCAAATCATATTAAATAAGTCTCCACCCATTTCAATAATGTATTTGTTTGCAGAGTAACCAGGAAAAGTAATATGTGTGTTTGAGTGTAGGTATAGGTATGTAGGTGTGGGTATGCATGAGGAGCAATAATAATTACCCTTAAATAATATATTTGTAATGACACTACTAATTTCAATTATGGTGTCAGATTTTTCAAAACCATTTAATACATATTTTTAAAGTGTTATTTTGTTAAATTGCTAAATTGTTTACTGTAGATGTTTTAGTGTTAAATATTCCATAAATGTTATAATATAGTAGATATAGAAGTATCTTATATACCAGCGGGGCCCCTCAACCTTTTGGGCACCAGGGAATGCCATGGCCCGGTGCCGATCCATGGACTGGGGATTGGGGACCCCTGTTATATACTATATTTGTATTTTCCTTGACATCTGAAGCAGTAAAAGAAGAAGTAAAGAATAAGAAGTATTTTTACTGCTGCAATTATATTGCTTTATGTTGTTATGTATCCCATGGACTTTAACAGTTCTTGTAAGCTGCTGTGAGCTGGAATGGATCAGGCACCATACCAAATTAACAAATAATATGAAATGTGTTAGCATTGACACTGGCCTGATTTCTTCCCTGCAAGGAAAGGTGTCTTATTAAGGATGGTGAACTAATGCTTACTTGGAAGAGCCTGCAACAGTAGTGGTATGCTACCAGTTTGGCCCGGTTTGGACAAACGGGTAGTAAAAATCACTACTGGTGGCTGAACTGGTAGTTAAAAAAAGCCTCCGATCAGCTGAGAGGAGGGTCAAAAAGCCTCCAACAAGCAGCTGAGAGGATAAAAGACCAAAAAGCACATGGGAGGGTGGGAGGGCTGCTCCTAGCTTTTCGTTTCTTCATCCTCTCAGCTGATTGGCTTGTTAAGGGTGTGTGTTGGGGGGCGCGCATGCACGCGATCACCCACCGAACTGGTAGCAACTAAGGTAGGATCCCACTACTGTCCTGCAAGCTGATGTTTTGACACAATACATTCGATGTATTTAATGTTTTCCACCTTGCATCTCTCTTACTGTGTTCTATGCATCAGACAGTATTGTTGTGGTGTAAGAAGTGGGAGCCTGTCAAGCCTGAATTCGGTTAGGTGGTAGACTCCTATGAATTCACCTTGACACACTTGAGAATGGGAAGGGGGGAGATTTGAGATGGATAGAGCTCCAGACAAAACAACATAGCTGGGCGATGAGCCAAGCACATTCCAACGGTTGCTCAGCCAAGGGGGAGCCAGTACTGAAAGTTTCCTGGATTTCCACGTCACTATAACTTGAATTCTTTCATTTTTCCAAAACAATAGGTCCAACCAGGATGTGAAATGGTTTCCTGGCAACTTTGCTCATCCTTCCTCTGGTTGAGCAGCCATTGGAACATGGCTGACTCATTGTCCAGCTAGGTTGTTTTGGCTAGAGCTCCATCTGAAGCAGAAGAGGCCTTTTTATGGCAACTCATTTATGGTGACTCCACTAGGACACAAGGGGCCCTGAGGCCCGCTGGAGGGTCCACCCCGGGTGCCAGTGCTTCGGTGAGTTGAAGGGAACATCCCAGGCGCCATCGGTCCTTTGAATCCGAGGGACTTCCCGATACTGCTGTATTCTGGCGACGGCGGTTGACACCTCCAAGAACCACTGGTGAAAGGTGAGGAGACCAAGACATCTTCCAGCTGGCCGGTGGAGAAGGAACACGCCTGCAGGCAAGTATTGGACTTGGGAAGCAACCCCTCCCTGTAGGCAGGGACGGAGGAGAGGACTGATCACCCTCTCTTAAACTAAGGTGGGAGGACTTGTCAGGAATGATTGAGGTGAGCAGCTACTGCAGTTCCCATTGGTGACTGTGAGTGTCCAGCACCTTGGGCCAGTAGAAAGCGAGTGGCGTCCACAGTTCCCATTGGAGACCGTGTGCACCCGGCTCCCTGGGTCAGACGTGAGTGTGTGGAAATCCCTGGTGTTAACAAGAGAGGAAGGACCCCATACCTTCTTCTAACCCCTCTTCCCAATTGTCTTGTCTGGTGACCTGGGTGGCTCATGGGAGGTGGAGAAAGTGTGCCCCTAACCCCATTGGGGTGTATGCTAAAACATTTTAAGGAAGCATATGAATCTCAGGACTCTGGTCTTAAGTGGAGTAGACATAAACTGCAGGTGTTTTGTGAGGGAGAATGGCCAACATTTGGAGTGGGGTGGCCAGCCATAGGTACTTTATACACCTCTATAGCAGTACAGGTTCATCAGTTAGTATTCCATCCTACACTAGGACACCCAGACCAAGCTCCTTACATAGATGTCTGGCTCGACCAATTAAACCACCCTCCACCATGGCTTAAAAAATTCAAAATACAACGGTGCAGGCTCCTAGTGTCATGAACTTTACCATTGACCAAGCTAAAGAAGTCCACCCCAGTCATGCCTAGCTGCCCAGAAGAACTACCGCATCCACCCCCATACGTACCCCCTCTTGGCTTAAGAAGGATGTCAGATGAGGGAGAATCCTCTGGGGCATCAGGATTAATAGCCCGACTAGACCGGATATCCCCCTTCATGAGAAGCCCCGGGGATCCACCAGATACGAGAGCTCGATCAGCCCAAGCCGATCTTCCGCCCCCGGGGACCTCTGCCCAGGTAGGCCCCCAGGTAGACCCTAAACAAGAGGCTGAACCAGTGGCAGCAAGGACAAGAGCCAAAACAGAACAAACGTCCCTGACAGCACCGCTTAGGCAGGTTGACCAGCTGGTAACAGATCATGAGGACCCCACAGAATCGGTCACCTTACCATTGTTCCTACATGTACCACTCACTACGTCAGATTTACTTAACTGGAAACTACACTATGGCCCCTTTAGTGAAAAACCTACAGAAGTAGCAGATTTAGTGAAAACTATAGTGGACACACACAATCCCACTTGGATGGATCTCCAACAACTAATAGGGACTCTGTTTAATCCGGAAGAAAGGGAAAAGATTAAGAATGCAGTAACTGAGATATTAAAGCCTGATGTCAGGGCAGATGGTAATCTAGCAGCACATGTTGAGGCTCTCTTCCCATCCCAAGATCCTAAATGGAATCCTTACAACCATATGGACCATTTACGAGACTACCAGTCAATAGTTGTGTGAGCCATCCGTTTGGCAGGAAAGCCTACAGTGAATATGTCAAAACCCTCCCTGGTGTTGCAGGAGCCCACTGAAAGCCCTGAAGCACTTTATGCCCGTCTCATTGACGCTTACCGCATATCTTCTCCCATAGATCCCACTGATCCAGTGAATGCCCGAATGTTGACAATGGCATTTATCTCACAAAGTGCCACAGACATACGCTGTAAATTACAAAGATTTGAGGGAGCACTAGGTAAGCCCATGAGCGAGCTAATGGAGGTGGCGCGGAAGGTTTTTGTAAACAGGGAAAAAGAGGAAGAGTGGAAGAAAGATCAAAAATTGCAAAGAAAAGCTGAATTAATGGCGGCAGCTATGATGTGGACCCCAAAGGATAGAGGAGGCAGCCGAGCAAGGGGCATCAGATCAGGGTTAGGACGTAACCAGTGTGCTATTTGTAAGAAGGAGGGACACTGGAAGGGTAAGTGTCTGGAAAGGAGCAAAGAAAAGAGGCCAGATGGAAGAAGAGGGAATTTCCGAGGAGGCCTCCGAGCACCCCCGAGAGGAAGCCGGGGAGGGCAAGGTTACAGGAAAGGATTTGAAAGAACCCCTCTCATAGGCTTGGCAGAGGTGGAAGAATGGGACTGAAACCGACCGGGTTCAGATTGCCTCCCAGAACCTATGGTCCGGCTAAATGTAGGAGGCAAACCTGTTACCTTCCTAGTAGACACTGGAGCCACAAGGTCAGTCCTAACCCAGCCCCTAACACAGGTCTCCCCCCACACCATTAATATCCAGGGAGCAACAGGAAGTATTTTACAGCACCCCCTTTTGGAGCCCCTCATGTGCACAACTAAAGGACAAACCATAACACATCAATTTGTGCATATGTCAGACTGTCCTATCCCACTCCTGGGGAGGGATTTGTTGTGTAAACTTTGAGCTCAGATCTCATTTGAAGAGGATGGAACAATGACACTGGGATATGGGAAGATAAACGTAACAATAACCAGAGAAGAAGAGTGGAGGCTCATGGTGGCCAGGGACAAGGGACAGGGAGATGAGGATGAATGGAAGCAATTCAATGTTCCACATTTGTGGGCTGAAGATAACCCCTCAGGCTTTGCCAGTCACCACCCTCCCATCATAGTGGAAGAGCTACCAATGAAAGCGCCTGTCAGAATCCAACAATGGGTATACCCCAGGCATATTATCCAGGCGATTCAAGAAATTATTGATCTATACTTGAGATCCCATATTCTGGTGCCCACCGAATCCAAATGGAATACCCCAACATTACCCATTCCAAAGGGGGAAGGTAGGTTTAGGCTCCCAGGAGGGGCTGGGAAGGGGGACTGTAGAAACATGGATGAGAGACTCTGTCCAACCTGGGATTGTGTTGCATGGGCCACTTATGCATCAAATAAGGGCAAGGGAACTTACCTCCAGATAACAGGGGTACCTCCGCCCAAAAACTGTTTGCCATATCAATGTAATAATGTCAACATTACTATACCCAACCCTACGCAATGGATTTCCAGATATGGGCAAACAATGGGAATTAGATTGTGGGCACAAGGCACGGATCCAGGAGGTATCATACACCTGTCTCTGGAAACCAGGTATCACCCTACTAAAAACTATACTAGATACTTCTCTGAATTTTGGAAGGAAATTGATATCGAGTTTCAACCATCCCAGCAGGCTCGCAATTTATTCCTGGAATTGGCCTCTACCATAGCACATACGTTAAATGTTACTAGCTGCTACATATGTGGGGGTACTAAAATGGGGGATCAATAGCCAGGGACTGCCCAGGAATGGAATTACTCAGTCAACTATAATTTAACGGCCATGCCGAGACATCAGCCCCAGTCCAGGTGGGAACTAGATAATCCCATTGTAGCCCAATGGTGTTTGAAAAGGTCACAGGGGGAGGGACCATCAATAGGGGAAACAGACTGTCTAGAAGTACATGAATGGAACCATTCCACCAAGTCTTGGGAATACTGGCCAAATAATACAAACCAATTCTGGTCCAATTATTCCTTGGAGAACATTACTGAAGCCCCTCCCGGTGTACACTGGATTTGTGGCATTGTGGCTTATAGTACTCTGCCCTTGAAATGGAAAGGAGCATGTACTTTAGGTGTTATTAATCCTGCCTTCTTTATGTTACCACTCAATCTTCCCCAAGTAGTAAAAGCTGACCATTGGACAAGTAGACAATTAAAGGCAGATTATAAGATCGGGGATTGGAGTGATGATGAGTGGCCCTTCAAATGGATCATCCAATATTTATACCCCGCCACTTGGGCCGCTGATGGCAATTATGGCTAACGCACACCAATATATATGCTAAACTGCATTATCAGGTTACAAGCTGTTGTAGAATTGATTGCAAATGAAATGGCTCAATCTCTACACACACTAGCAACCCAGCAGAAAAGGTTTAGAGATGCAATATACCAAAATCGTCTGGCCCTAGATTTCCTCCTAGCCACTGAAGGAGGAGTGTGTGCAAAATTCAACTTTACAAATTGCTGTCTGGAATTCGATGATGTTGGTGAAATCATTGAGCAACGCGCTAGATGTACAGAAAACTTTACGCATGTACCTGTCCAAAAGTGGAATGGGTTTGACTTTGACGAGATCTTTGGCTCTTGGTTCCCTAAATTACCTGGTCTCCAAGCCATAGTTGCACTTATTGGAATGATAGCAGCAGGATGTGTTATTCTACCATGTATTCTCCCCATCTTTGTACGAACAATCTCTAACAGTCTTTCTATGCTAGTAGAAAAAAAGGCAGCAACTAAGGCTATGGCTTTGTGGGAATATGAGAAGTTAAGCACAGTAGAAGATATCTCTCCCATCTGTGAAACTCCACAATAATCTAAGGATTCAGGTGTAGTTTCAAAGGGGGGAATGAAGCAGAATGGAAAATTACCAGAAAAGTATTCTCATATTACAAAATTATGTGCAGGTTCTTGTGAGATCCCATGTGAGATGTGGTAATTTTGTGAGCCTTTTGGCCATTTTATTATTATATTTTAATCATATGGTTCTACAGGTGGTATTTGGATGTCTTGCTGATACCCTGGCAACCTGAGCACCACATTGCCTACCTTGCTTTTCTATTAACCTACTTCATGGGACTGTTGCAGAGGTGGTATTCAGCAGGTTCTGACCAGTTCTGGAGAACCGGTAGCGGAAATTTTGAGTAGTTCAGAGAACCAGCAAATACCATCTCTGACTGGAGATTTTACAGTATCCTTCCCCTGCCACGCCCACAGAACTGATAGTAAAATTTGAATCCCATTACTGAACTGTTGTGAGGATAAACAAGATGAAGGGAAAGAGCCATAAGTATGTGACCAAATTCATTGGAGTCAGTGGTATTTAAGTAGCAGCTCCCATAAATAATGTGACAACTTTGATTTCTCTCCCATCTTAACAGTAAATTTTTATTAGCGGACAAAAGCTAAAAACTCACAGTGGGACAATGATACATTTTACTGATTAACTTTTTCCTTCAAAAAGAGATGGTGTTTTCTCTCAAAAAGCTTGGAAACTTCCTTCATTACTAAATAATATATAAAAAGGGGTTTTGATACAATCATAATACAGAACAGACTAAAGTCATTCAGTACAGTTCTGGCCAATCAATCTCAAGCAGTTTCCTTCTGATTCCTACACTCACTGCTGTCTTGGGACTCTCTTTTACTTAAACTTTCTTGCCTCTCACTGTTAGAAAAACTGGCATGTGCCTATAAGTATAGTATGTAACTCCGTATGAATATGTTTGGTGTATATGTTTATGTGCGTGCATCAATTTTTCCACCAAGATTGCTTATCTTAACTGATTGGATTTAAGACTTTTTCAGGAGACAGGAGTGTAGCTGTCCAGAATTGTTGGGTCCAGAAATGGCTTCTTGAGGAGGGAACACATCACCACTTCTTTCCTTGTAGGAGGAACTACCCCTCCCATCTCAAGAAAGCTAATACCATCACAAGGATCCAGCTATGGGTCACTGCCTGGGCAGCTTTAACAGTTCAGGAAGGGCCTGAATCAGTGGTGGTATTCATCCGGTTCACACCAGTTCGGGCGAACCTGTAGCAAGAATTGGGTGTGGGTTGCCGAACCAGTAGCAACATTTGGCTGGCCATGTCCCTGACCCAGTCATACAGTGTCCGCTCGCTCGCTCGCTTGCCCCATCTGCCCGATGCTTGCTCGCCCCACCCACCCCGCCTGCCTGCCACTCGCCCAGTTACTCCTCCCCTCCCGGGTCCTCATGACTTGCCATTCTAGCCTTCCCATGTGGTGCCGGTGCCCCAACTGAGCAACCCTGATCTTCCTGCTCACAGGTAAGCCTGTGAGTCGTGCTAGCCCCTCCCCCACTGTCCCTGGACTTTTCCGGGCCTTCCCTACCATCCCGGGACTTTTCCAGCCTTCCCTACCATCCACGGGCTTGACTGGCTGGCTAAGCCAGCGTGGCTCCATCCCAAGCAGCGCTCTCCCAGCTTCCCCTACCATGTGGCGGCCACGCCGCAGTGAGGGCGGGTGGATGTGCCAGCCGGGGTTGCTGAAAATTGCGCACCACATGTGCAGCCCCGGCTGGGACATCCACCCACCCTGCCCTCCCGCTGCCACTGCCCGCAAGAAAGCAAGTGGCCACTGGAAGTCTTTAGGAGGGTGGGCGGGTGCTCCTGCCACTGCCGCCATCCACAGAGGTGCTTTGGGAGGGCTGGAGTGAGGAGGTGCTCCATGGCCCTACCACCACCTCTGCCCACAAGAAAGCAAGCGGCCACCACAGGTGCTTTGGGAGGGCTGGAGTGGGGGGGGGGTTGTTCCACGGCCCCACCACCACCTCCACCCGCAAGAAAATAAGCAGCTGCGAAAGGTCTTTGGGAGGGCACGCCGCCCCCTTTCTTCCTTTTCCCATCGCCCGTTGCTGACTGGAGCTTGTGGGATCATTCAGTTTGTCCCAGACCAGGTGTCTGTCTGTCTGTCTGTCTGTGTGTGTGTGTGTGTGTGAGAGAGAGAGAGAGAGAGAAGAAAGAAGGAAAGAAGGAAAGAAAGAGGAAGGGAGAGAAAGAAAAAGAGAAAGAAATGAAAGAAAGAAAAAGAAATAGGAAGAGAGTGGCCCGTGTGTGAGAGAGAGAGAACGAGAGAGACAAGAAAGAAAGGAAAGAAAGAAAGAAAGAAGAAAGAAAGAAAGAAAGAAAGAAAGAAAGAAAGAAAGAAAGAAAG